GCCACTGCTGCCAGCCCGAGTCAGGGGGTTAAAGCATCTCCCTAGGCTTTCACAAAGGCCCGGTCCCGGGACCCCTGCCTGGACGCATCCCCTCTGGGGGTCTCTGCTTCTGCTGTCTGGCTTGTGCTAAAAGCAAAAACCGCACAAAGCCAAAAAATGGGGTTTTCTATAGCACTGTGTGTTTATAAAGTGAAATAGCGGGTTCAACTGTAGCAGCCGCTTGCACACAGCCATTACTTGAAGTTTTTAGCCTTTGAAACTTCTCTATATGGATGACCCTCGCTACCACATTGATCTCCATTATCTCACCAAGCTACCCCTGTGTTTAGTCTATGTGACTTAAGACCCTAATAAATGCAACAGTGCCTGCCTACCGTTTTCTACCCTCAATACACTGTGACGCTTGAATCCCTAGTCTTAAGTTCTTTGCTGAGAAGGCAGTTTCTCTATTGCATGAATAGTCTTGCTGCCTAAAAGTAACGTAGTCCCCAGAGCAGTTTGCAGAAAGCTGTTAAATGGGAGTTTATATAGACTTTTTTTTTCCATGATCTGCACATCCTCCCCCTGCCCCCCCCCCCACCGCATTGTTGACAAATAGAAGCTCCTATAAGCTTTGCAGAGCAGCTGGGATCTGTATCCAGATCTTCAACTGCTGGCGATTCCGAGTGTTGCTCGCACATAGTTGATAAGCATACAGATAGTGTCAACAAAACCCAGACATCTGTCTCCAGCCCCATGGAGGAAGAGAGCTAACAGAAGGGACATCCTTTCATGCTTAAGCTATAAGGCTTGGGGGGGGGGGGAACCCGGGTGGGATATTTAATAAACGAGCTAATCAAGTTAGTTTGGTACTAAACGCAAATGGTGACAAGCCTTAGTCGCTGTCTATCTGGGTAGGCTTTCATTATTTCAAACTGGTTTCCTTTAGTTGACAGTTACTTGACCTAATGTTTACAAGCTTTATTTCCACCCACTTAATCCTCCTAAAGGGTCCCAAGGTGATCGTATCGGAATACCAACTAAACCAACTCTAGAAATGGCTTGTGTTGGCTGTGCCAGCTGCTTGGAATCTGCTCCCGGGAGGAGCAGTGGTTTGTGCGCCTTTCCCACTGCTCCTCGGAAGATCCCGAGGGAGCGGATCCTGTGTGAACATTGCTGAGGTCTTGGGAGACTGGAGCTGCCTCTGTGGTATTGGCCAATGCGTCTCTCTGTGGAGGTCAGGGCTCTGCCAGGACGGGGAAGACCTCAGACAGCCTTGGGAACAACATGAAAGACCGGAGAATTTCTGCCTGTCTTAGTCATCTAGTCTTCCTATCAATCCAGGACCCCCTGCGAGTTCTCGTGCTGGAAGCTTGTGAAACAGGCATTCGTATCCTAGCTTGAATTTTTCTTTTTTTTTCCCCCACACGCCCACAAGCTAGTGTAGCAACAATCGGCCTTACTGGAAAGCAGCTTATCCCACAGGGAATGTACAGTAGCTGCATGTGTTTTGGTTTTTGTTTTAGTCCAAGTACTATATAAACTTTCAGTTTAGCTGAGCTTTTTTTTTTTTCAGCGGGTTAATGTGTATGGGAAAACTATTCAGCTTTCAAGTTTTTAATTTGTGAATAAATAGTGGTTTACCTGTCTGCTCTACAGACTTTTGGAGAACTTGAAGGTTTTGCAAAGAACTGAAACAATTTGGCTACATTAGGTTCCCTAGAGATTTAACCAACCCTTTCAAACAAAGCGCTGAAGGTAAATGAAGTTCCCTAAACTCCTATACATGCAAACATGTTTGGAATGCTGTTTCAAAGTTTTGATGTATAATTGTCAAATGCAGTAAAAAAAAAACATAATTTCATCACAATTAACATGTCTGCAATCTCTTACAGGCATTATGTTGCCAAGTGTTGTATTAAGTTTTCCCTTCTTCCATTGTGAAAGAAGCCAATTCTTTATGAACCAATTTAGTAGTATTGGATTATTTTTTTTCATGTGGGCCTTTCTCTTAAAATGGAGAAAATGTCCAAAATGCATTTAAAATCCACGGATGGTATTCAACATGAGCTATAAACTTGCGTTTAACTTTCCTTGATTTGATAGCTCCTGTAAATAAGGCCTGGAAGTGTCCCCAGTGCAATGTTGTGGGAGGTAAAGGTTTTTCTTTGCAAAACATTTAACCCCAGTTCCCTGAAGTACCATGTTGCATGTTATCATTCTGGCATAAACTATGCTTGTGACTGTATGCCTGGCTGCAGACATACTATTCCCTATAAGGGCTTTGTTTGGAAATTAGCTAGCTTTGCTGTTTAGGTCTACAGAAAGACTCCAGCTGCAGAGAACTTGCCCTTATATGGTCATGCCGGCATGGGCTTACATTGCCCTGAATCGGAGATGTTGTTCTTATTGCAGTTACTACTACGGCTGCAATTGTCGCTAATGGTAGATGGTTTTTATGCAGCAACACAAGACCTAAAGGACAGAAATTAGCCTTCATCACACGTTGTAGCACTTACTGCAGCAGTTCCCAGCTCTGTCCTTGGAGTTCTAAAGGAGGGATTGTATTTGTTGATGGGTCTGTGGCGGTGGGGAGGGAGCGTTCTTTGAGATTGTTGAAAGCCGAGAGATTGCGTGGATAAGGATGATTAACCCTTTCTGAGACTTGCAGCTTGTGTTTTCCTCTAGCAAAGGGGTTCAGTGGACTTGCATTTAATAATGCTTAAAATGCAGGGTACTGCACCAACCCCACCTGAAACGTCTCGCTCAATTGGTCAGCTTCACAAAATGTGGAACTTTCGAACCATTTTCCAAAAAAAAAAAAACAATTCACAATATGCAGGAAGTGAACTGCATATAATTAAAACGCCTGATCATGACGGTGTTGAAGAAGGCCTGTGACCAGACCATGCTCTTCCTCTTTAGGACTATATGAACTGCCAGGTGGCACTGTATTCACCCTGTCTAGATCTTGGGCTAATAGGAGCTGAAGACCAACAGCTCGTCTTTGAGGGGAGCAGTATGATCTTGCAGTGCTGTTGTGCCGAAAATGGCTAAGAGTACAATGGCAACTTGCTTTCAAAAGAGCTCTCTTCCAGGCCACGTTCATGGGAGCAGGTATAGGACACGCCCTCAGCGCATGTGACTGAGGACTTGGAGGCCTGCTCACCATGTGCTGTCAGTGAGGTGTAAATAATTTTAAAGCTGGGAGCCAGTGTTCTCCTGTACAGTGTCCTAACTGGGACCGACTATGGCTTTGCTAGGTCCTTATTCTTGTGTGTATGTAGATGTAAAAACTTTTTTTGTTTTTACCTCCCAGCCATGCGAGTGTGCCAGACAGTCTGATGTAACATTTTATCCCTGCGATTAGAAATGCACACTACAAAATAAAACGGCAGGATCCCGTGTTGTCGAGACCTGTTGATCATTTTAGTCATCACTGGTTTGTTTTTCTCCCCCTCCCCCCCGACTTGCAGCTCACCTTGTGAAATTAAGATGGCGAAGAAACCAGGGACCGCCCTGAGCGAGGACGAGAAATTTCTCTTCCTGGATAAGAACATCAACAGCCCCTTGGCGCAGGCTGACTGGTCCGCCAAGAAGCTGGTATGGGTGCCCTCGGAGAGGCACGGGTTCGAGGCGGCCAGCATGAAGGAGGAGCACGGCGACGAGGTGCTGGTGGAGCTGACGGAGAACGGCAAGAAGGTGACCTTCAACAAGGACGACATCCAGAAGATGAACCCGCCCAAGTTCAGCAAGGTGGAGGACATGGCTGAGCTGACCTGCCTGAACGAGGCGTCGGTGTTGCACAACCTGAGGGAGAGGTACTTCTCCGGCCTCATCTATGTGAGTATGCTTCCTGTGCAGTGCCTCTCGCACTTTTATAGTCCTCTACTCCTGGAGATGCCCCTACGGCCAATGACAACTCGGCATCAGTCTAGCCAGTTGCTCATTGTAGCCGTATAAGGGGGGAAAACTAAGCAAAACTCCTCAACTTGGTAGCCTGCTGGGCTGCAAAGCTTAGAGGAATGCAAGATCATGAATGCATCCTTAAGCCCAACAGGAGTGGAAGGATTTGGAAAAGCTCCTTCTGTCCTACGACGAGCAGCCCACTGAGCCCCGTTCTTGCAGTGCCCATGATGCCAAATAAAATGCATGCCATCAAGCGTAAATATTGGGGATAAATGCAGTCCTGTTCACCTTGATCTTCCATTCCTTGTGCTGGGATTGCCTGTCATCCAGGTACAGCATATTCCTTGTGGTTTTACCCCCAAATATATCTGCATAAGGAAATTCAGCTCAAAATGCACAGCAATTTAGAACAAACTAGGCTTTCCTGGGCATGTACAGGAGTCAGTAATGCCGTGGTAAAGGAGAGGATAGTATGGTACTGTATAATGGGCAGAAAGCCTGGCCTTCAGAGCAGGAAATACAACCTTGTGGATTTGGGAGAAGAGATACTGCTGGCTTTTAAAGGTTTTCCAGAATCTTGGACATAGCCCAAGAATGTGGTAAGGCTGGCTTATTCAGTTGCAGAAGAGTGGTTTTAAATTGCATGCATGCCAACCAAAGGTATCCTCTGTGTGTTGCAAGAGTCTGCTTGACTCATGTAGTTGGGATATGAGCCCGAGATACTGTACTTCTAAGCATGCAGCAGTTTCAGCTGCACTGAACCAGTCAATGCTTTTGCAGGGTTTGTTTTACAAATTGTACAATTGCAATAAATGGCTACATGATTAGAAGCCATCATCCTTGATTTTAAAGACGATAGAAATGAAGTCTATTTTATGAGAACGACTGATGTAGCTGCACGATGCAATGTCCATCACAAAAAATTGAGGAGAGCCTACGTTAAATTCTAGCCACCCCACAAATGTCAATTTTAAATTCATGCCAAGTGGTGGTTTTCACTTGTTCTAAAACCTTGTTGCAACTGCTTATCGATAGTTCAGTATTTCTCCTAAAATTGGCGGGTTTTCTTCTCTTGTAGCCCTTTATGCCTGGGCTTTCGAGAGGTTTTCTGATGGATGGCCTCCTCGTGCGGTGGGTTATCCCTCCTGACGGTGCCTCTCTCCCTTGCTCTCCCCCAGACCTACTCGGGGCTGTTCTGCGTGGTGGTGAACCCGTATAAGATGCTGCCCATCTACTCGGAGAAAATCATTGAGATGTACAAAGGGAAGAAGCGCCATGAGGTGCCTCCGCACATCTACTCCATCACTGACAACGCCTACAGGAGCATGCTGCAGGGTAAGACCTGGCCTTGGAAACGGCTCAGAAGCACCTATTGCAGTGGCCTCTCTCCCTTCTTAAGGGTTCGGCAGTGTCCCACAAATGGTAGTTCTGTGGATCGTTTTGCCCTTTCCACAGATGTATTAAAGGGCTCTACCAAGGTCCTTCTTGTAGTCTGAAGTGAGGATCTCTGTTCCGTGAGCACCAGCTCGTCTACATACGAGAGTGTGACCTTGTATAAGACCTGGACTGCGGATCAGCTGGTCTTGAGGAGAAGCTTCCAAGCTTGCTTGAACTCCTTCATTAGAATGTTTTTGTGCAGAAGATCAGTGGGTTGTCAGCTGGGTAGTAAACGGGGACATTTAAAGTCCCACAAGACCCATTGCAGTGCAGGAGACACCTGCTAGTCTTTTTGCCTTGAGACTTGAACCCAACCTTACAGGAAGTGCTTTATTGCCTCATTTGTCAACTTCTCTCCCTGATCACTTCTAATTGTTCCTAATTACCTGGGCTGCTCTCGTTCCCCATGAACCTTCTTGCTTTCTCCAGGTGAAGTACTTTAGGAAGTTGCTTTGCTTTGACGAAACAGCCATTGACTTGGATTCACTTTGACAGGGAATCGCTCTAAGCAGTCCATGGTGCGGAGGTGGGTGGGTGGGGGGGGTTATTTTTATAATGGGTGAAAGCTCTTCTGTTTCCTATTGCAAACATTAAAATAAGCCAAAAAACAGCCATCATGAATTCATTTTAAATAAAACTGAATAGTCTTTATCTCTCGGCTGACTAATGTAAATACCTTCCCTATCCCATTTCTAGTTCTTCACAACCTATCTGTGAATTCTAAACCACAGCCCTCGAACCCTGATAAAGATGAAAACAAGCGCGCTGTCAGGTGGATTGTGGGTCGGCTGCTCTACTTGCAGCAATGAAAGCCGATTTTAACAATGCTCTCACTGTGAACTTCTGTTCAGATAACTTTTTTTACTAATCAAATGAGCCACCTTGTTTAATTACCAACCGATAAACCAGTAATCTTCACACTTCTTTTGTTCACCCTGTGAATGCCCCATTCACCAACTCTTGGGTTTTAAATATTGGGGAAAAAAATGGAGCAGGATCAATTCCATATCTGCCCAATAGTGGCAGCCAGGCTTGTGAAGAAACTAACAGAATGGTCTTTCAGTATCCATATTATTCAGGATTTAAATACAGAAAACCCTGGAAACTTTTTTTTTTTTCTATACTGAATGTGCCAGAAAGCTGATCAAGGCTTCATGCTGATCCTCTCTCATGCAGGTTGAGAGATTTCAGTTAAATAGTTAAGACTTGATTCCAAAGGGAAATTAAGGTGTTAAAGAGCCTCTTGAAGGCACTTGGAACTTTCACAGATGTGGAGTCTTGTAACTTGGCATGGAACTTGCAGCTGTAGCTGTATTTGGGATTCCAAAGCATCATCCCTAAGGTCAAGCGTGATAAGATCTGCAAAAAAAACTTCAGACCAGGAGTGATATTCTGAATTAAGCGTTTTAAGAGTGTGATGAGGACAGAGGCAGAGACGTGTGAATTGACGATCTCTCTTGTAGCGCGAGCTGGGCCTTTCTTCAGCTGCTCAAGCTCCTTCCCTCCTCCTCCTCAGTGACAGTGGTTTAACACCACAACAAGTGTGAGAACCAGATAGCTGCACTGCCGTCACAGTACCACAGACTTGTCACAGTGGTCATTAGTGCTGATAGATGCACTTGACTGTTATTTTTGCTTTGTCATTGACTGCTGTTAGCACTCAGGAGTGCTAAATTTAACTCCTAAGTTTAAGACAAACTTCTTGTTTGTGCCTTACTGAGAATTGAAAATAAAAGCAGTTGCTTTTTTTTTTTTTAGTATTCATGAGCAGCTATCAGATTGCTTATTGCACTGGATAAGCACCTCCCATAGCATCTTCTAATTTCTGCTACAAACACCCATGCCTCCCTGACCCTCTCTTTGGCATGGCAACCGATGTCATAGTGCTCCACTGTAAGTGGGATTCACATGGCCACTCTCTTCTGTGTGATCTGCCCAGCTTGCTCTCTATCCCTCTCTGGTCAAGCAGCAACTCCCCACCCTGATGCATGAAGCAGCCCAGTGCTGCTGCTGCTGCTGTTGACTTGTACTTGTTGCGTTATGGAACTGAACGGGTTATGGGGGACCTGATGGAATTCCTGGGGTTTGATTACACTAGTTGCTCAAGGGCATGCTTGTTTTAATAACGTGCTTATGCAGGCAAGAACCCGTATAGCGAGTTGGTGGCACTAAGCCGAGCTTCACGGTATGTGCAAATCTCTTGCTTGGTTGAGGCTTTCTTTGAATCCTGCCCCCTCCTCTTGACCACTTTATCTTGGTCCGGATCTCACAGATTTTATTCCTTTGTTGTCAAAGACTAAACTTGGTAGAATTATCCACAACCGGAGACTGGAGTGAATGAGCTCAATCTCTACGTCCCATTGGGAAGATGTACATCTCCCCCCCCATCAAAGCAGAGCCGCCTTAAAAGCAAAGCAATATAGTGCCTTATAGTATTGATTATAGATCTAATACTGCCTTTCCAATTGGCACAAGAATAAATACACAACGAGAGGGGACAGCAGGGTTACACCATTACAATAAGGCTTGGGAATACAGCAGGAAAACAAAGGGGCAGACGGAACCAGTTAAAAGGTTCGAAGTCTGGATTTGAAGGGGACTCTATTCTGATATCCGTAAGAATAGAGTTCCAGATCTTATGGATGACACGGCATCTCTTGCTGCACCCCATGTATGTAGAGGGGAATGGGGAGACGGACAGGAGACCAGAATGTCAAAAACCCGTGCTGATTTAGGGGCCCATTTTCAATGGGGTCTTCCTTCTCTGGCTCCGATCTCGGCCCCACTGCCCTGCGCTGCCTCCTGGTCCCTGGGCTCAAGTGCACGAGGCTGAGCTCTTGGTTTGAAGAATGCGGTGCCTCTGTATTTGGATCGGCTTTGGGAAATGCCTCGGCTTCTGCCTTAATTAGGAAGAAATGGGGAACGCGCCGCATTTTGTGTGTGCAGCCAAGTCCAGCCAAGTTATGTCCATAATGAGGAAAAGCAGTCGGCAGTGTTTATAGCATGGCAGGGACATGTGGGATTAACTGGCAGGGGCAGCCGGAGGACCGCTGCTCGGAGATGCTCCTGCAGCCTCAGGTGGTGTCTGGTAATGCGCTTCAGTGAGGTTGATGCTCACTTCTTGGGTGAAGAAGAGTAGGCAGAGCTATTGTCTGTTATACTGCAATATACTACATACAACTGGTAATAGTATCGTTGATGTGCATACATTTCTTCATGGATCTTGGCTTTTAAAAAGGACATCTGAGTGTATACCCTATGTATGTTTTTATTTCCCTTTTAGCACCCAAATGAATTGGGCAGGAGATCCACTACTACCCTCCAACAAACTGAAGTGTAAATTTATTCCCTTTATTATAATGAGATGTGACAATTGGGGGGGGGAAAATTCGCTATCCTCCTCCCATGCTTTTAGTACCTGGTCTCTAAGGAAGGGTTACAACAATATCCATAAATGGATCATTATGTGGGTTTCAGAGATATTTTTAGAAATACATTTTGATCCTGATCTCATTTCTCGGCTCCCCTGCTTCTGCCCGCTGTATCCAACAATGACGTCTGTGCATTGGCGGAAAATAGCCAGTTGAATTTGGCAGAAAACAGTCTGAATAGTGAAGGAATTCTCACTGTCCAAGATCCTCATGTCCTCCGAGGAACTGGAAAGTGGTGCAACAGGGCTATTAAGCTGTTTTCACCTTCCTTCATTAAATAAGATTGACACAAGTTTAGCCTATTATATAGCATTGAATTTAAACTTTCTTGTTTTTTTTTCCCCACCTACAGATCGTGAGGATCAATCAATTCTCTGCACGTAAGTGAAAGTCTTTTCTATCCCAGGAGGATGGCCAGTATGACTATTTTGGTCTTTAAGGCGTATAAAATAGGTCCCCATGACCCTGGAGGAGTTTTGTTCAATACTCATGGGCAATAGGACAGGAAGTCGAGTCAACCAGGAGTCTTAAAAGTTAAACGAGTGAGAATTGTTCAGATGAGAGCCTGGGTCAGCTGTCTTCTGAGATGCTGCTCTCACAGGAAGCAGATTCTAAAACTAGACATGTCTGTTTTTAGCATTCCTTTTTCTTTTTTTTTTTTTTTTACTTGATCTGTTTAGCCTGGCTATCAGCCATTAGTTTAGGGGGGGGAAGCTCACTCTTCATAAGCCGTGCCTCAATTCATTAAATTCACTTGTGAAAACAGTTGTAAGTTAGCAGGGGGCCTGACTGGCTGCGCTGTGTGGCATGCGGTCGGAGGTGCATGCTGGGACACTGGTGGTGTTGTGCTGGAGCTGGCAGGGGCTTCCTTCACCTGTGTGGGCTCATGGGGGGGGTTGGCAGTGATCTCGGCCCGCCAGTGGGTTTAGGAGGACATTATCTTGGTTTCCTGTTCCTGTTTCATCACCGTATGGGCCCCATCATTCCTCAGTAGAGCGGCTGCGATACCAGAGCAGCCTCCTGGAGTGTTTATGATGGCCACTTCCCGCTATCCAAGACCCTCATTCGAACCTGTGGCTGATGTGACGTTCCTGTAAAAGGGCTCTTGTATTGGAATATTATGAAACCTGTGGGAACGATATCTGGGCTGGACGGTACAGGGAGCCCCAAGCAAGATCTGGTGACTAGGGTGAGGCTCCGACAGCCTGGAGCAGCAACTGAACCACCCTTCACCACTTCAGAAGAACCCTTGCTAAGCAGTGTGGAAATCGAAGGCGTAGGACAGATAACTGTGGGGAAATCGACCCCTTTCCCTTTGTCCAAAGGTTTGGTGTTTGTTGCATGGTCTTCTCTGGCCCGAGCTGCCTTTCCTGTTCCACTCCCGTGAAAGCAGAGAGGAAGTGGGAGGGCCGTCTCTGACCCACTACCTCGGGCTCCGGGCCGATTCCAGGATGCGGCGTTCTCCGAGTTCGTTTCCAACGCCTTCCTGCACGCTATCCGTTGTCTTCCTGGCGGATGTTTTGGGATTTTTTTTTCCCCTCTGTTTGTTGGGTGTTGACGTCGAGCAGCTAGGCAATTGCCGTTAACTGGAAGGCGAACTCGGCGGGGACGGTACTCGAAATCCCACCCTCTTATGGGGAAACGGAGACTGCTGATGGGATTTCCTCTGCTTGTTCCACTTGTCTCTCGAGACTTCCTCGAATGTGCCATTAATCCCATGCAACATGCGACTCTTACAGATATTGGCAATATGGCCATAAAACCCAAGCCAGCAGTGCAAGTCTCAGATGGACAGCTTGCTTTAAAAGAGCTGGTGGAACTTCACTAAGGGAGACCCAGAATCCAGTTTAATACTGGAGCTCGGTGGGTCCGGTTGAGCCCCGGTCGTGCTCGGGCCTGCTGTTCTGCACCTCGGCCTATGTATTGAACAGCACTGGTCTCTTTACAGGAGGGCAGGTGTATATGGCTGCAGGAGTTGGTTTGAGCCTCTTAAATCTTAGTGAATTTGTTTTAGCTTTTTTTTTTAAGCTGATCTTAAGATGGAAGTTTGTCGCCCCTATATGCTGGTTCACATACAGCCTCTTGGCTGGAGTTCAAAGCCAGAATTAAGAGCTTCGTTTCTGGAATGATAAGCTATCACTCTGACCAGTTACATTACCCCTTTTGCTTCCCTGCCTATAAAAGGCCATCTAGCATTCACTTGATGTCTAAGGAGGACCACCCTGAGCCCCGAGCAAAAGGAAGTAGTTAGATTAGCTGGGGACCTTTTGGACGTTCAGTTAGTGAGCTATTCAGCACAGAGTTCAGACTCCCGTGAAAATGCCTTAAAATCATACTGGTAGCCAAGAGAATTTTTGGGGTGCTCGAGAGCATATTTAAAAGTTCTCAGTATTACCACCACCCCTCCCCCACATTCCCCATTTTACACAAGAAAAGAGGGTTTTCCCAGAGGTTGATAAATCATTACTAAACAGTCTGCAGTTGAGCAATCGATCTGAGGATGAGTGGGGCTGAGGCATCTCTTACAATACCAAGGATTACAGAGGAAGGCAAATTCCTCCCACAGACAACCTGGGAAACGCAGGGCTTTAAATCCACAATCTCCCCAGATCCCACTGCCTGTTAAACAACCCATTACAATGCCCAGTGAATCAGCAGTGCACTTTTTCCTTTTTTGGCGTTGTTAGGGATTGAATCGTTCATCACTCTGTCTCCAGTGCTTTGAGATCAAAGGCTGGCTAAATTAGCAAGAACAGTTGCAATTATTTTTTCCTTCCTCGCACCAAAGCCTTTTTTTTTAATGCAGTATGTTGTGATAGAATGCAGCATGTGACTTAAGGTTGGACTTTTTCTTCGCATTTAAAAGCGGTACTTTTAGTAGTACTGGTGCTGGAAAATGAACAGGTTGAATTTCCAGGTATAAAAAAAAAGCACAAACTTCTTGTAAGGACTGTTTAGATTATTGGATTGTTTGCTGCTGTTACTGGTTAATAAAAGTATAATTTTAGCGGACTGCTGATGCTTCTCAACAGTAGTTAAGATTTATCAAAACGTTTCCCCTATTAAAGTTCATCTGGGATCATTTACTCTGTGACCTTGGTGCATCTAGTAAATCGGTCCTTCACATTTAAAAACTGAAGCTCTGTTTGTCCATGTTTGGTACATCTTTGATTTCATCTTGAGTAGCAGTGTCCTTTGGAGGTTTAGTAACAATTGTCAAGTTGGGGGAAGATCTTGCAACTCCAGTTGACCTGGTGGACTTTGTCCTTGTTTGGCAGAGGGGAGTCTGGAGCTGGCAAGACCGAGAACACCAAGAAAGTCATTCAGTACCTGGCTGTGGTGGCCTCCTCCCATAAAGGCAAAAAGGACACCAGTGCTGTGAGTATC